GCACTGCCAGTCCCAGCGTGGGGAGGTATGTCCGCCCGCGCCTCCTGCGCAGCGCTGCCCGCAGCGTCACTGCCTTGTCTGTCCGCTGCGTCGGCGCCCTGCGCTCCTGGCGCCAGGGCCCCGAGGTGCGCTGGCTGGTCCTCAACGCCTGGCGCTGCGCCGTGCCCTTCCGTGCCAGCTTCTCGCCTTAGCCCGCAGTTGCCGAGGATGCTCTGCCACTCCTCGCCATGCTGCACGCAGCACCTCGTCAGGTTCACCTCCGTCACGCAGGCCGGCGGCGCAGGTGCGATCGGGAGCACGCTGCTTAGCGGCCCCCATTTCTCCGCCGCAACCATCCCCACAACTCCCATGCCCTTCACAGGCCTGGGAAGCTCCTGGCCTGCTGCACTCCGTCCTGCTGCGCCACCACTGCTGCTGGGCTGAGGGGCCTCCTCCTCAGCACGTGGGGTGCTCCTCGCCGCGGCCTCGCCCTCGAACCTCAGCACCGAGGCGAGCTGCTCCTGCACCCTCAGCCTGGCTTGCCTCCAGCTGCTGCCGTGGTCCCTCTCACAGCACCCTTGTGGTCGAACCTCAGGGAAGGTCCGCGGCTTCTGGACCAGCCTGAAGCGCTCCTCCTCCTGCTGTTTGCGGATCTCGAGAATCACCGCCGAGTGCGGGTACACTGGCGAGGCCTCCACCACCCGCACCCCCAACGCAGCCAGCCCCTTGGAAACCAGGAAGAAGTCGATGGTCCTCCCTGATGCTGCGCACGTCGGCGATGCAGGCCTGACCACCTTGCCATCGAACATGTCGGGCACCCCGCCTGCCTGCAGCTCTTCCTCCGTGAGGTTCCAATCACCGCCCACTACGAAGTCCCTGCGGCACTGCCTCAACCTCCTTGCCAGCCTCCTGAGGCTGGACACGTTGCTGTCGTTGAGGCCGACCCCCGCCTCCAGGTAGATGTTGGCGAGCAGGAAGCCGCTGCGCAGCACGCCCGACACCCAACACAGGTGCACTCTCCCAGCCACCAGCACCGCTGCCTGCTGGCCCTGCACCTCCGCCATGCCGTGGCTCCTCCTCACCATGGTGAGGAGGCCTCCTGTGCTTAGGCCTCCTGCCGCTGACGGCACCGCGGGCGTGCCTCTCGCCCTCCATCCTTGACCTCGAAGCTGCGCCTCCGCGTCACTGCTCCTGCCCTCCAGGAGCCTCGTCTCCTGGACCAGAATGGCGACGCAGTCCTGCACCTCGCTCACCGCCATGCACTTGCCCAGGTTGCAGAACGCATTGATGTTGACCGTGCAGATCCTCCAGACCCCGCACCTCATGCTAGGACTCCTCCTCCAACTGCTTGACCTCCGTCCGCATCTTCTTGGCGTCACCGAGCAGCTGCTCGGCTGCTTCCCTCTTGGCGGGGTCCTCCATCCCGCACGCGATGTCCTGCCACACCTGCTGCACCGCCTGCGACACGCCAGGCCCCTCCTCCTTGGGAGCATCCACCTGCTGCGCAGCTGCAGGCACTGCCGAGGGCACGGGGACCGCCGCAGCCACAGGCGCACGGGGGGGCGCCCCCGCAGCGGCGGCAGCGCCAGGCAGGCCACTGAGCTCCGCCAGCACCTTCCCGAGCTTCGCGATCTCGTCCCTCGACAGGCGGCCGATCGCCTCCTGAATCGACTCCAGGGAGGCCGCTGGTGCTGCTCTCGGCTCGTCGGCCGCTGCCGCCGCCTCAGCCTCCTCGGCCGCCATCCTGGCGCGCTGAGCCGCCAGCGCCTCCCGTGCCTTGGCCGCCGCCTCGTCGCACTCCTTCCGCAGCAGCACCAACTTGTCCGCGAGGCAGGCCGACTCGTTGATGGCAGCCACCGCCTTGGCCTTCGCCTGCTCCAGCTGGCCCTCCATCTTCTTGACCTGCACGACCTTGGCGTCCGCCAGCACCTGGGCCGCCTTGACCGTCTTGTCCTTGGACAGCTCGGCCCCCAGCCCGCCCTCCCGCAGCCTCCGCGCCTGCAGCAGCTGCTCGCGGACCTTCGGGGGCAGGAGCGCGGCGGCGAGGGCGAAGTCGGCCTCTGCCATGCACACGAAGCCACAGCGCTGCTCCTCGCTGAGCACCACGGCGCTTCCAGCGTCACGGCCGCCACCTTCTCCACCACGCCACCACGGGGCACGAGTGGGAGGCTTGCCGCCGCCAGCCCCACGCCCGCCGAGCCCGCCGCCAGCACCGCCAGGAGCACCACCACCGCCGCCGCCTGCATGCCACCCACGTAGCGGAGGAAAGGCGCCCAGCTGCCGCGGCGCTGGCCACCCCGCAGGCTGACACCCCTTGCGACAGCACGTCCTCTCGGCGAAGTTGTAGTAGTCGCACACCGAGCACTTCCACTTCGCAGGCCACGCCGCACGGCCGCCTCCCCCACGCCCAGCACCCACGCCGCCGCTCCCCGCCATGGCGCGCGTGAGTTTGGAAGGAGGCCGCCCGACTGCCAGAGTGCACACACTCTTGCCTGCGCACGGTAGTGCGATCCAGTGAAGCACGGAGGCTGAAAGCCCCCCGAGCAACCCATCTTGAGCCAAAATGGCTACGGAGGAGGAGGAGGAGGAGGAGGAGGAGGAGGAGGTCGCGAAGCTCACTGGGCACCCTTGATTCGGCAGGGTCGACCTGCGAATCAGTCTCGCCTTTTCAGAAGCCCTCGCGCCTTCTGCGAGGTGCTTTGTGCCTTCGGGGAAGACTTAGAACACTTCTCAGAAGGCCGGGGGACTTCCGAGCCTTCTGAGAAGGCATTCTCCTTCTCACTTCCCCCCCTCGCTGGCCGCCGACGTATAGCTACCCGCAAATGGCCAGGATCCATCGCGTCGAGGCAGAGAGGCTCCACGGCATCGAACAACGCTTGTCTTTGCTGACGTTTGCGAGTAGACACCTTGCGAGTAGTGGAACGCGCTCGGTGATCCCACCAGCTTTGTCTAGGTCGGGCATGTCCCCCTACAGGCGGATTTGGAGCGAGAATTTCAAGAAATACAGAGACAGATTCAAAAATGGTAATAACAATCGTCTCCAGACTATTTGTGTTTGACTATGTTTGAATAATTCCTCCTGTAGAGGGACACGCCCGACTTAACACCGACTCTGGGCCCCTTCTCGGGGCCCCAGCTCTTCCTCCGAGTCGCCCCTCATGACGGCCCCGTGCAGGCCGGGTGGGCGGGCCCGGAGGCCGACGCGGCCGACGGACTCCTCTCTTGGCCTCTCGCGCTGCTTCCCGCGGCGCGAGGAGGCCAGGGAGGGAGGTCCCGAGTCCCTGAGGTCAGGGAAGGAGCTCCCTGGGACTCCCACATTCACGCTGTCCGCGTGGATGGCGTGGAAACAAATGCTTTTTTTAATGATGAGATATGTGATGTTGTCACAGGTTTACGATAGTTTGAGCATGCACTGCTTTCCGCGGCGCGAGGAGGTCAGGGAGGGAGCTCCTGAGATCCGACGTCTCAAAATGCTCACTGGTGCCCGGACAACCCCCTGGACAGCCCAGCGGGGATCCGGACAACCCACTGGACAATCCCCCTTGGACAAGCCTCCTCGGGATTGTTCTCCATAAGATGCAATGGTATGTTGGTGACGAAAAATCGCACCCAAAACCCTCGACGCCATCTTTCTGCGGCATCTCTCTGGCCGGATCGAGCTGCGAGGGCCCCGGGGCAGGTTCCTCGGATCGGCGCTGGGCACCCCCCTCTGCATAGCGCGCGGAGGGCGCGGCGTCGGAGGCGCTGCCCGGGGGCCCGGCGCCGATCCGAAGAATCCGCACAGATCTCCGCATTGTTGCGCTTTTGTCCATGCCTCCCCGCGCTGGGCCCCGCCGCCCCTGGCCTTGCGTCGGGCCTGTCCCTCTACAGGAGGAGTATTCAAAACTAGTCCAACAATCGCCAGGGGACGATTTTGTTCGACTATGTCTGCATACATGTTGAATATGTGTGGGTTATTTTTTATGTTTCGTCCAAGACCAAGGCTGGGCTAACGGCGATGTTGCTTAACGGTGATGTTGGAAACCAAGATGTAGGAGATCACGAACCACACTTCCCTATCTGCGAATGGATCGAGCGAGCACGACAACGCGAATTGTAGCACAGCGCGAGCAACGCGTTCCCACACTACCGAAACCTACATCGCCGTTACCTACATCGCCGTTAGCCCGTCTATGGCAAGAACCGCCTGCAGGGGGACAGGCCCGACCTCACCTTTGGCCCGCCGACGCCGCAGCCGCCGCGGGCTCTGCGGCGGGGCGGGCCGCTCGGGGAGCAATCTGGCCCCCGAGCCGCGCGCCCTGCCCCTACTCTCCTTCTGCCGCGTCCCCTCCTCGCTTCTCCTCGCTCCTCCTCCTCCTCCTCCTCCTCCTCCTCGCTCCTCCTCGCTCCTCCTCCTCCTCCTCCTCCTCCTCCTCCTCCTCCTCCTCCTCCTTCTCCTCCTCCTCCTCCTCCTGCACGGTGACATTCTGGATGTCATGACAATGGACACTGTAACAATCATATAATTGAATTAATACTGTGTTGAACATGTGTAAGCATGTTCTAAAAATGTGTCAAACATGTTTTGGGCAAATTAAAAATCATGTTTGAATCATGTTGTAGACATCTGGGAACGATTTGGCAGCATGCTTCCTCTCCATTAATGGACTTCCATAACGGTGGCATAATTCGCTGCAACGGCACCCCCGTTTGGGCAGCGCATCGCCAGCGCAGTCGCCCTGCCTAGCCGCCGACGCAAAAAGTGTATGTCCGTGCCCCCGACAAGTGCGAGCGAAAGCGTCGCGCAGCGACCTCGTGGGCGAAACCGAGCGGACTCGAGAAATCAGCATCGCCTGTCTCAAGAGGCCCTTTCTCTGGGGCTCCTTTTGGAACCACGTGAGCTTGTAGGGGAGCGAACCAGGACATAGACATACTACCTCGGAGGCCCGCGCGGATGTCACGGATCCGCGCGGACCTCCGAGTTGTCATGCTTCTGCCACTTCCCTCGCTCTTCTGGCTGGCTCCCCCCTCCTGGGCGAGGCCTGGCCGATGCCGCCCGGCACGAACTCCGCGGCGTCCGGGTTGAAGGTCCCGCCGGCGTGGCCGGCCAGGGCCCCGTCCTCGCCCGCCTCGCCGCCGCCCGGGGCCTCCTGGGGCGCGCCCGGGGGGCGTCTTCACTGCTTTGGCGCCTGAGGTTCAGGATCGGTTTCGAATTCGCGCTGCGAGGTTGAGGACGAAGACTCGGAATCGGAGGCGCGTCGTTCCCGAGGACAAGACACTTCGTGACGGTGCAGTGGCGACGGAGCACGACGCCCAGTGGGGGGTGGGGACGCTGGACATGCCGGTTTGCCCGGAGAGGTTTGGCCTCGGGTGCCGTCACGGCTCGCCTCCGGGTCGTCCCGTCCCGTCCCCGTCGCACCCCTCCCCGCGCCGCCCCCGGCCCCTCTCCCCGTGGCTCCGCCCCGCCCTCCCGAGGAGAGAGAGAGAGAGAGAGAGAAAAAAAAAATGAGAGAGAGAGAGATGAGAGAGAGAGAAGGAGAGAACAAATCGGACGGGAAAAACACAATCACATGGCAAAGACAAGGAGGATAGATGGTGGCGAGGAGGCGATTCAGGGACCGAGGAGGACCGATGATGATGATGATGATGATGATGATGATGATGATGATGAGGAGGAGGAGGAGGAGGAGGAGGAGGAGGAGGAGGAGGAGGAGGAGCGAAGAGGAGGACACGACGACCTGGGGGGCAGAACGGAGGAGGAGGAGGAGGAGGAGGAGAAGGAGGAGGAGCGAGGAGCGAGGAGAGGGAGGAGGATGAGCGAGGAGAGGGAGGAGGAATCGAGGGCCTGTGGCGCGGGGCTTGTAGGTGTGTGACTACCTCTCTGGACTCTCTTACCCACGTCTGGATGCATACCAGGAGCCCAGGAGAGGCGAGAATTGACTCGAGGAAGTAAACAGCTACCCCCCATAACGATATCGCTAGCACGACGTGATCGTGAGGGGAGAGGAAGGCGTGGGGGGGGTGTACCCTGACCTTCCAGAGTGCTAACAACAACCCTCCAGACCCATAGACCTATGTGGACTGCCTGGAACCTCGACGGGAATTTCGACGTCGAGGTCCTGGTGCAATTTTGAAGCCCTCCTGGGAAGGTCAGGGAACTGGCTGCTCCCTGGGGTTCAGGAGAGAGGGAGAGGACGCGAAACGACCGAGGATCGGCCAGCGCCACCCGCATGGGCAGCCGAAGGGCTCCTTGCTCGCGGTGGCCTTCTCCTCGATCGTCGAGAACTCCTCCGGAATGCTAAAGACCGGCAGGTCATCCTGGCGTTCGGTCGCGCATGTCCCTCTAAAGGCGGAGTGTGGACGACAACAAATTTAACATGGTGAGAAAACTCGCAAAATTCCTCCTGTAGAGTTAGGTCGGGCATGTCCTCCTACAGGCGGATTTTGGACGAAACATAAAACTACCCTGTGACGTACCCAACCCATTTGTATCAATGGAAACGAGGAGTTGGCCGAAACTTGCATGGACAATCAACTTGATGTGTAAGCTACTTGGGACACGCGCCTATGGCATGATGCGCAGGAGAACCATACAAGAACGAGGGGCGACAGCTACAGGCTCGAAGAGGACATGGGGAGTCGGGAACGCAGAGCAGGAGAAAAACGTACGGGAAGCCGAACCATCAGCACGGCAGCAGCAGAGGGAAGGTGACTGCAGGAGGAAAACAAGGACGAAAGCGGCGTCTAATTTGAGTTTGCGGTGGGTACCGACTGTGATGTGCCCCTCAGCAGCCCTCGGAAGTGGCGACAGTTTCATTCAGATCGCAGCCCCCCAGGGATGGCGACGTCTAACTTGAATTTGCGTGTGGCGTCACTGTGCTGGGCCCCCCAGCAGGCCTCGAAAGTGGCGACACTTTCACAGATCGCAGCCCCCCCAAGGATGGCGAGGTCTAATTTGAATCTGCGTGTGGCGTCAATGTGCTGGGCCCCCCAGCAGGCCTCGAAAGTGGCGACAGTTTCACAGATCGCAGCCCCCCAGGGATGGCGAGGTCAAAGTTGAAACCGCGGTGAATACCCACTGTGCTGGGCCCCACAGCAAGCCTCGAAAGTGGCGACACTTTCACAGATCGCAGCCCCCCAGGGATGGCGTGGTCACATTTGAATCCGTCGTGGGTGCCCACTGCGTTGGGCCTCCCAGCAGGCCTCGGAAGTGGCGACAGTATCACAGATCGCAGCCCCCCAGGGATGGCCAGGTCCCATTTGAATCCGCCGTGGGTACCCACTGTGCTTGGCCCCCCAGCAGGCCTCGAAAGCGGCGACAGTTTCACAGATCGCACCCCCCCAGGGATGGCGAGGTCTAATTTGAATCCGCGGTGAGTACCCACTGTGCTGGGCCCCCCAGCAGGCCTCGAAAGTGGCGACAGTTTCACAGATCACAGCCCCCCAGGGATGGCGAGGTCTAATTTAAATCCGCGGTGAGTACCCATTGTGCTGGCCCCCCCAGCAGGCCTCGAAAGTGGCGACACTTTCACAGATCGCAGCCCCCCAGGGATGGCGAGGTCTAATTTGAATCCGCGGTGAGTATCCACTGTGCTGGGCCCCCCAGCAGGCCTCGAAAGTGGCGACAGCTTCACAGATCGCAGCCCCCCAGGGATGGCGAGGTCTAATTTGAATCCGCGGTGAGTACCCACTGCGCTGGGCCCCCCAGCAGGCCTCGAAAGTGGCGACAGTTTCACAAATCGCAGCCCCCCAGGGATGGCGAGGTCTAATTTGAATCCGCGGTGAGTGCCCACTGTGCTGCCCCCCCCAGCAGGCCTCGAACGTGGCGACAGTTTCACTCAGATCGCAGCCCCCCAGGGATGGCGACGTCTAACTTGAATCCGCGGTGAGTACCCACTGTGCTGGGCCCCCCAGCAGGCCTCGAAAGTGGCGACACTTTCACAGATCGCAGCCCCCCAGGGATGGCCAGGTCTAATTTGAATCCGCGGTGAGTACCCACTGTGCTGGGCCCCCCCAGCAGGCCTCGAAAGTGGCGACGGTTTCACAGATCGCAGCCCCCCAGGGACGGCGAGGTCTAATTTGAATCCGCGGTGAGTATCCACTCTGCTGGGCCCCCCAGCAGGCCTCGAAAGTGGCGACAGTTTCACAGATCGCAACCCCCCAGGGATGGCGAGGCCAAAGGCAGGGGGGAAGAGAGGGACGGGAAGGAAGGAAGGGAGGAAGGAAGGAAGGTTCGCGCGAGCAGTGCTCTATTCAAAACGCGAACCCAACGCAGGAGGGTTGGGAAAATAGACCATACATTACCCTGGCGACGTACCCAACGCCTGCGCAAAAGCGGGGCGCAAATAGTTTAGGATACTTTATAAGGGGGCGATGACGGAGCGAGGGTTACATATGTCTGCAGACGGAATTCGGGAGACTCGCAGGACACTGGCTACAGGAAAAGGGCTTGATAAAGCTGATGATTTACAATTCCTGAGCACTCCTAGGCCGACTTCGAAAACGGGGATCACAGCAGGCCTCGAAAATGGCGACAGTTTCGCAGATCGCAGCCCCCAGGGATGGCGAGGTCTAATTTGAATCCGCGCGTGGCCCTCACTGTGCTGGGCCCCCCAGCAGGCCTCGAAAATGGCGACAGTTTCGCAGATCGCAGCCCCCCAGGGATGGCGAGGTCTAATTTGAATCCGCGCGTGGCCCTCACTGTGCTGGGCCCCCCAGCAGGCCTCGAAAATGGCGACAGTTTCGCAGATCGCAGCCCCCCAGGGATGGCGAGGTCTAATTTGAATCCGCGCGTGGCCCTCACTGTGCTGGGCCCCCCAGCAGGCCTCGAAATGGCGACAGTTTCGCAGATCGCAGCCCCCCAGGGATGGCGAGGTCTAATTTGAATCCGCGCGTGGCCCTCACTGTGCTGGGCCCCCCAGCAGGCCTCGAAAATGGCGACAGTTTCGCAGATCGCAGCCCCCCAGGGATGGCGAGGTCTAATTTGAATCCGCGCGTGGCCCTCACTGTGCTGGGCCCCCCAGCAGGCCTCGAAAATGGCGACAGTTTCGCAGATCGCAGCCCCCCAGGGATGGCGAGGTCTAATTTGAATCCGCGCGTGGCCCTCACTGTGCTGGGCCCCCCAGCAGGCCTCGAAAATGGCGACAGTTTCGCAGATCGCAGCCCCCCAGGGATGGCGAGGTCTAATTTGAATCCGCGCGTGGCCCTCACTGTGCTGGGCCCCCCAGCAGGCCTCGAAAATGGCGACAGTTTCGCAGATCGCAGCCCCCCAGGGATGGCGAGGTCTAATTTGAATCCGCGCGTGGCCCTCACTGTGCTGCAGGCCTCCCCAGATCCAGCAGGCCTCTAATTTGAAACTGTGCTGGGCCCCCCAAGGCGAAAATGGCGACAGTTTCGCAGATCGCAGCCCCCCAGGGATGGCGAGGTCTAATTTGAATCCGCGCGTGGCCCTCACTGTGCTGGGCCCCCCAGCAGGCCTCGAAAATGGCGACAGTTTCGCAGATCGCAGCCCCCCAGGGATGGCGAGGTCTAATTTGAATCCGCGCGTGGCCCTCACTGTGCTGGGCCCCCCAGCACGCCTCGAAAATGGCGACAGTTTCACAGATCGCAGCCCCCCAGGGATGGCGAGGTCTAATTTGGATCCGCCCGTGGCCCTCACTGTGCTGGGCCCCCCAGCAGGCCTCGAAAATGGCGACAGTTTCACAGATCGCAGCCCCCCGCAGGCAAGACAGGAAGAGGCAGGGAGGGAGGGAGGAGGAGGGAGGAGGGACGCGACCACACTGCTCTATTCAAAACGAATACCCAACCAAGGAGGGTTGGGAATCATCCAAACTTATTGAAAAATACCCTGTGACGTACCCAACCCATTTGTATCATGGGAAACGAGGAGTTGGCCGAAACTTGCATGGACAATCACATTGCAAGATCCGTTGTTTGATATGTAAACTACTTGGGACACGCGCCTATGGCATGATGCGCAGGAGAACCATACAAGAACGAGGGGCGGCAGTTACAAGCTCGAAGAGGACATGGGAAGTCGGGAACGAAGAGCAAGAGAAAAACGTGCGGGAAGCCCACTGTGCTGGCCCCCCCAGCAGGCCTCGAAAGTGGCGACAGTTTCACAGATCGCAACCCCCCGGGGATGGCGAGGTCTAATTTGAATCCGCGTGTGGCGACCCACTGTGCTGGGCCCCCCAGCAGGCCTCGAAAGTGGCGACAGTTTCACAGATCGCAGCCCCCCCAGGGATGGCGAGGTCTAATTTGAGTCTGCGGTGGGTACCCACTGTGCTGAGCTCCCCAGCAGGCCTCGAAAGTAACGACAGTTTCACAGATCGCAGCCCCCCAGGGATGGCGAGCTGTAGTGTGAGTCCGCGGTGAGTACCCACTGTGCTGTGCCCCTGAGCAGCCCTCGAAAGTGGCAAGTTTCACAGATCGCAGCCCCCCAGGGATGGCAAGGTCTAATCTGAGTCCGCGGGGTGTACCCACTGTGCTGGGCCTCCCAGCAGGCCTCGAACGTGGCGACAGTTTCACAGATCGCAGCCCCCCAAGGATGGCGAGGTCAAATTTGAACCCGCCGTGTGTACCCACTGTGCTGGGCCCCCCCAGCAGGCCTCGAAAGTGGCGACAGTTTCACAAATCGCAGCCCCCCCAGGGATGGCGAGGTCCCATTAGAATCCGCCGTGGGTACCCACTGTGCTGGGCCCCCCAGCAGGCCTCGAAAGTGGCGACAGTTTCACAGATCGCAGCCCCCCCAGGGATGGCGAGGTCCCATTTTGAATCCGCCGTGGGTACCCACTGTGCTGGGCCCCCCAGCAGGCCTCGAAAGTGGCGACAGAGAAGCGGCGACAGTTTCACAGATCGCACCCCCCCAGGGACGGCGAGGTCCCATTTGAATCCGCCGTGGGTACCCACTCTGCTGGGCCCCCCAGCAGGCCTCGAAAGTGGCGACAGTTTCACAGATCGCAGCCCGCCAGGGATGGCGAGGTCCCATTAGAATCCGCCGTGGGTACCCACTGTGCTGGGCCCCCCAGCAGGCCTCGAAAGTGGCGACAGTTTCACAGATCGCAGCCCCCAGGGATGGCGAGGTCCCATTTGAATCCGCCGTGGGTACCCACTGTGCTGGGCCCCCCAGCAGGCCTCGAAAGTGGCGACAGTTTCACAGATCGCAGCCCCCCAGGGATGGCGAGGTCCATTTGAATCCGCCGTGGTCACTGTGCTGGGCCCCCCAGCAGGCCTCGAAAGTGGCGACAGTTTCACAGATCGCAGCCCCCCAGGGATGGCGAGGTCAATTTGAACGTGGCCACTGTGCTGGGCCCCCC